GGGTGGCCATGCCCCTGCAATCCCTTATCCTCTGTCTCTCACTCCTTTTGGGACTTTGGGCACACATGCATTTTCCAAGCCGCTAGAGCTGGGATTCGAGCCTCGGCTGGTTATGGGGGAATCCAGCTCCCCTCAACCACCAGGCTACGGTCCGACCCTGTAAGAACTTTTGAAAGACCCAGCGGACAGGAGACAGAGAAAAAGCTTTTCCTCCCAGTGAGAACAGCCTGGACAGTCAAGATGCCTTCCAGGACTGTCACCGAGGGGGAGCCGGCCGAAGGCGCCTGGCACGCAGAGCTGCTCGGGTAGACACAGACATGCGTGCTGTAGCCACACGACTCTCGCAGCTCATCTCCAGATGGTTCTGTTCCTCACAGCCCCCGAGTGTATAGGCGGCCACCCATTTCTAAGTTATTACGGCTGTTATTCAATCCCATCACAAAGAAGAACAAACACCCGCGTCTAAACCGAGCCCCACGACGTGGCTAATGACCTGCAAAATGGAATTAGCGCGTCTCTGCGTTACTGACCGGTCTCACACACACTGCGCTTTGAAGACAATGGAAGAAGGGTAACAGGGCGGTTTTAATTGAGTTTTTGTTTTTAATCATTTTGAAATCAGTCTGGACTGCCAGGAAGCTGCAAAACGAGCAAAGCCCTCCTCCCTGCCTGCCCTGGTCCCCGACGGCGCTGCAGTGCTGCAGGAAGTCGACGCCAGGGTGGCCCTGAGCTCCGGAGGCAAACCCGGCTCGGTTTTCATCCTTTCTGACCTGCGGACATCTCTGTGTGTCGTCTATGCAGTCTGAGCCCACGGGTCGATGGGTGGAACCAGAAATCCTCTATTAGCACAAGAGACTGCCCCTCCCCAACCCCTCCTAGGCACTGACACCCGCCCATCCCTACTCCTTGTCCCTGGCATTCACGGCTCTGGTGTGTGTCTCTGCAGTTTGGGATTTTTAAGAAGAATTACTTATTTCTGTTTATTATTGCCATAGGGCACATGCACTCAGAGAGAGAGAGCAAGCCACCAGGTCCAGGGTTCAAACCGCAATCGGCCACGTGGGAATCCAGCACCTTAACCACCACGCCACCTGCTGGTCCCTGTACTTTGGACAGAGAGACAGAGAGTCCCTCTTGATTTCTGGGCAATAAATTAAGCCCAGGGCACGGATAGGTCCGAGTGGGGTGAATTGGTCACCCCTGGAGGGCACTGGTGATATTTTCACTTTTTTTGCTATTACAAATAAAGTGGCTATTTTCTGCTCAATATTTATAAGCAGATTTTGTCACAGAGCAATGCAGCGTACAAACGACAGTGTGTCTGCCAAGGACTTACCTCAAGCTGCAGCATTCTATGAAAAAAAATCCTTAAAATGTAATGACATGACTCTAGAATTCAAGCAGTTCTCTTCCTTTTTTTTTTTCCCTTAATATTTATTTATTTTCACAAAGCAGTGCAAGACACAGAGACAGACAAAAGCACCCTCAACAGGCACCTTCAACAGGCGCCCATACCACCATCCTGCCCCATCCTCCCAGCCAGCCGGGATCCCAGCGGCATGTGCTCAGCATGCACAGGCTGACCCGAGAACCGAACCCCAATCCTCCACGTGGCTTCCAGCACTGCAGTGTGACGCCACTGCCGTGGCCCTGCTGTCAGTCCAGCCTTCTCTTAATTTCGACACTAACTTTGCTTTTAATTTTCCAGAGGCCATGTGGGGTCACCAGAGAAAGTCAGAGAGAGAGAGAGGGAGACAGTATCCCCCATGGAAACAGGGTCTAGCCACCAAACCCTCTTCTCCATTTCTCCATCCTTTTGGGATTCGGGGCACGTGTGCACATGTGCCTGCAGTGGTTTTTTTTCAAGCTGCTGGGGCCAGGATTTCCACTGTTCAGTCAATCATGTGGGATCCAACTCCCTTCACCACGGGACCAAGGAGATGGCCCAAGACTAATTTTCTAAGCTCTGAAACAATCTATCCTATAATACTGTAATTACAAAAACTGGTAGGGCCAGCCAGTGGCATGGCGGTTAAGGCAGTTGAATCTCACTTGGCTGACCACATGGTTCGAGTCTCAGACCTGGCATCGTGAGAAACACTCAGAACCCATGTGCATGCATGCCTAGACTCCTGAAAGGAGGGAGAGGTGAAGAAGGGATTGCAGCATGACCATGCCCCATAGGAGGTGCTATCTAGCTCGCTCTTGCACGCACTCTCTCTCTCTCTCTGGTGAGCGCACACACACCCTGGGCCAATTAAAAAGTCAGCCGTGATGGGACCAGCAGGTGGCATGGTGGTTAAGGCGCTGGAACACTCCCACATGGTCAACCACGGTTTGAGTCCTGGACCTGGTGGCTTGCTTTCTCACTTTCCCTCTCTCTCTCTCTCTCTCTGGTCAAATTAAAATGAATGAATACATAAAATAAAAAATTATTAAAAAAGAAAGTCAGCTGTGGTAAAATACACGCAACATCAAAGTTACCATCGTGGTCATTGTTTTAGGAGCCCAGCTCCGTGGGGCACTAAGCACATTCACACTCGTACAACCTTCACTACCAACCAGCTCCAGGGTGTCAACGCTTTTGCAAAACTCCAACTGAGAACATGGGACATAAACTCCCCTCTGCCTCCCATGCCCAGCTCGGGGCAGCCATAGCGCAGTCTCTGTCTCTGAGCATCAGACAGTCCTCCGGGAGGACCGCTGACGTTGACGTCTGCTCGCCTCGTGGATCTGGGAGAGCGTGCTTTCTTTCTCACTTGGATTTGGGATGACGCCGCAGAGAAAACAGTTCCTCCCATACTAAGCTGGAAAGCAACTAGGCTTCCCTTGCTAGACTCAGAGCCCAGCGAGGGCCACCACTGCCGACTGACACAGTGTTTGCAGGAGCTGCGTGCAAAAAGACAAAGCAACCCGACAGACGCCCATTGACAGGAGGGCTCGCCCCTTGCTTATTTCTTTCTGGGCTGACGGACTGGGCTTATCAAAAACGCGGCCGCAGCCATCTCCTTACAACCTGGCCAGCCAACAAGTCACCAAGCGATGACTCTCTACGAGACAAAGGCTAACAGAGAGTTGTAACTTGTGCAAAAAGAAACCAAGCCCCATCTGGGCGCTCTAAAGCTGGGGAATGAAAAGTTCCCTGCTGCCACCTTTTTTTTTTTTTTTTTTTTGG